CTGGCGCCGCCGCGCGCGGAATGAGGAAGAGAAGGATGAGGAGGAAGGATTTGAATGAAGGATTCTGCATCTAGTCCTCCAAGTGGCACTGAGGAGGAAAAGAGGAGGAGGAGGAGGAGGAGGAGGAAAAGAGGGGGAGGAGGAGGAGGAGGAGGAGGAGGAGGAGGAGGAGGAGGAGGAGGAGGAGGAGAAGGAGGAGGAGGAGGAGGAGGGAGGAGGAGGAGAGAAGGAGGAGGAGGCCTATGGTGCCATGGTGCTGCACTGGGTGGGGGGGAACGCCGTTCTTGGTGAGTGGTCTGTCAAGTAAGGTTTCCGGGACGCATGCGGACGGTCCCGCTGGGGGCTTCGGTGGAGCTCCCTGTTGGGCCACGAAGCGCTGTACTGGGTAAGTGAAAATGCCACATTGGGCTTCCGGGACGCATGCGGCCGGTCCCACTGGAGGCTTCGGTGGAACTCCCTATGGGGCCACGAAGCGCTGTACTGGGTGGGTGAAAATGCCAAGTTGGGCTTCCCGGACGCATGCGGACGGTCCCACTGGGGGCTTGAGGCTTCGGTGGAACTCACTAGAGGCACTGGGGCCTTCGGTGGAGTTCCCTACGGGGCCACGAAATTCTGGACTGGGTGGGTGAAAATGCCACAATGGGTGTTTCGGGACGCATGCGAACTTTGCCACTGGGGCCTCCGGTGGAGCCCCCTGTGGGGCCACGACACGCTGCACTGGGCGGGTGAAAAGCCACATTGGGTGTGCGGGACGCATGCGGACGGTGGCACTGGGGCACTTCGGTGGAGCTCCCTGTGGGGTCACGAAACGCTGTAATGGGTGGGCGAAAATACTAAATTTGGTGTTTCAGGGCGCACTCGGACAGTCCCACTGGGGGCTTCGGTGGAGCTCCCTATGTGGCCACGAAGCGCTGTAATGAGTGGGGGGGGCGCATGTGGACGGTAGCACTGTGACCTTCGGTGGGGCTCCCAATGGGGCCACGAAGCGCTGTGCTGAGTGGGGGGGATGCATGTGGACGGTGGCACTGGGGCCTTCGGTGGAGCTCCCTATGGGGCCACGAAGCGCTGTACTGAGTGGGGGGGGGGCGCATGTGGACGGTGGCACTGGTGCCTTCGGTGGAGCTCCCTATGGGGCCACGAAGCGCTGTGCTGAGTGGGGGGGACGCATGTGGACGGTGGCACTGGGGCCTTCGGTGGAGCTCCCTACTTCGCCGCTGCAGAAATTCGGCCAAAATGCAACGCTTCCCGTTAGGCGACGGGGCCCCCGTACAACGTTGGCAGTGGGCCCGTTAGGCCGCGGGGTCCCAGTACAATGTTCGGTTGAAGCATTTATCGTTCCAGCGCGGGTTTCGAAATCCAGTCGAGCTCGTTTTGGGGAGGAAGCCCTAGGCGAAAGCCACACTTCGAAATCGAGCCCGAGGGGTTCGAATTGCAGTAAAACTCGTTTTGGGGAGGAAGTCCTAAGCGAAAGCTGCATTTTCGAGTTTTCGGGTCAGGGCTCGTAAAACTTTTAAATGCCAAACGGTGTGGCCATTTCGAAACGGCGGTTTCGCTTGATACTTCCTCGAAAAAAGGATTTCGAACGATTTCGAAACTTTCGGGCTCGATTTCGAAATGGGGCTCCCGCCTAGGACTTCCGCAAAAATAAATTTCGAAACCTTTTTGCTTCGATTTCGAAATGGCGCTCCCGCACAGGACTTCCTCAAACATAGAAGTCGAAACCTTTCTGTCTCGATTTCGAAATGGCGCTCCCGCACAAGAATTCCTGCAAAATGAGGTTCGGCATCTGTTCCGTTCGAACTCGAATGGCGCTCCCGCCCAGGACTTCCTCCAAAACAGAATTCGAAACCGTCGGGTTCGCTTTCGAAATGGCGTTTCCGCCCAGGACTTCCTCAATCAAGACTACGATCAAAACCACGACCGCGACCACGACCACGGCCACAACGACGACGACGACGACGACGACGACGACGACGACGACGACGACGACGACAACGGCGGTTACATGCGCTCTCGCCCGAATGCCGGTCACTGCTTAGTTCTCGCGTCACCGCCGGCCAAAGTCTCGGTCTGGCCGACCACTCTCTGGGGTGGCGCCCGGAGAGGCCCCCCGTGCGGCGCTGGCCCCCTTCCGGAGGGGGGGACGTGCCGGGGGGAGACACCCGCCCCCCCCCCTTCAAGGGGGGGACCCCTTGGGGGGAGATGCTGCTGTCACCCCCCAACAGACACATGTTTGAAAAAGACTCGCCAGTTTGGGCTGCTTCCGCTTGGGCCGCCTGATCTACCCCATTTCCTATTGGAAAACCACTATGTTTTCCAATCGTTTTCCGGGTTCCGGCATTTTCTGCAGAATCGTGTTTTTTTGTTGTTGCGACCCCAGCCCGGAGGCCGAATCCAAGAGGTAAAGCACGATTCATCCGCCCGTTTGGGCTGCTACTGCTTGGGCCGCCTGATCTACCCCATTTCCTATTGGAAAACCAATATGTTTTCCGTTAGTTTTCCGGTATCTGGCCTTTTCTGCAAAATCGTGTTTTTTGGTTGCGACCCCAGCCCGGAGACCGAAACCAAGAGATAAAGCACGACTAATTTTGACAAGTTCCGCTTGTGGTCACACTCTCGGCTCCTCTCCTCTCCTCCTTTGGTCAGTCATCGTAAGCACGGGGGTGCTAGCGTCAAGGTGATTATCGGCGCTCGGCTGCTCATAGGTTGTGTGGTGCTCTCAGGCTTTGGAGTGATGCTCACGGCCGTCGTGGTGTTCATAACCAATGTGATGATCAGGCGTTGTTTAGCTGAAAACACAAAACTCGTCAAAACTTTCGTAGCGCCGATGTATGGGGCCACGAGACGCTGTACTGAGTGGGGGGGACGCATGTGGACGGTGGCACTGGGGCTTCCGGTGGAGCTCCATATGGGGCCACGAAACGCTGTACTGAGAGGGGGGGGACGCATGTGGACGGTGGCACTGGGGCCTTCGGTGGAGCTCCCTACGGGGCCACGAAGCGCTGTACTAGTGGGGTGGCGAATGTGGACGGTGGCACTGGGGCCTTCGGTGGAGCTTCCTATGGGGCCACGAAACGCTGTACTGAGTGGGGGACGCATGTGGACGGTGGCACTGGGGCTTTCGGTGGAGCTCCCTATGGGCCACGAAGCGCTGTAATGAGTGGGGGGGACGCACGTGGACGGTGGCACTGGGGCCTTCGGTGGAGCCCCCTATGGGGCCACGAAGCGCTGTACTGAGTGGGGGGGGGGGGGGGGCGCAGGTGGGCGGTGGCACTGGGGCCTTCGGTGGAGCTCCCTATGGGGCCACGAAACGCTGCACTGAGTGGGTGAAACGCAAGGAGAAGGGGGAGGAGGGCCACGAAACGCTGTACTGAGTGGGGGGGAGGCGCATGTGGACGGTGGCACTGGGGCCTTCGGTGGAGCTCCCTACGGGGCCACGAAACGGTGCACTGCATGGGTGAAACGCAGGGGGAGGGGGAGGAGGGCCACGAAACGATGTACTGGGTGGGGGGGACGCATGTGGACGGTGGCACTGGGGCCTTCGGTGGACCTCCCCTTTGGGCCACGAAACGTGTGAGGGGTGTTCCGAAATGGGTCTTGGGGGCGCATGTGGACGGTGGCACTGCGGCTTTCGGTGGAGCTCCCTCTTGGGCCACGAAACGTGTGAGAGGTGTGTCGAAATGGGTGCGGGGGACGCATGTGGACGGTGGCACTGGGGCCTTCGGTGGAGCTCCCTATTGGGCCACGAAGCGTGTGAGGGGTGTGCCGAAATGGGTGTGGGGGACGCATGTGGACGGTGGCACTGGGGCCTTCGGTGGAGCCCCCTATTGGGCCACGAATCGTGTGATGGGTGCGCCGAAATGGGTGTGGGGGTCGCATGTGGACGGTAGCACTTTGGCCTTCGGTGGAGCTCCCTATGGGGCCACGAAACGCTGTAATGGGCGGGTGAAACGCAGGGAGGAGGAAGGAGGGGGAGGAGGAGAGGAGAGGAGGATGAGAAGAGGAGAGGAGGAACGCGGGGATCGCCTCTTCAAAACGAGGACCCAACAACGCAGGTTGGATGGGAAATAAAAAATCTCCAAAAATATTCGAACATCAAAAACCTCGAAAACCAATCGAAACGGCGTTTCAGATGTCACCCTTCGCCCTCCACCCGCAGAAAATGTTCGGGGATTGCCCGGCCGTCCGCGGGTCGCCCAAGCGGCCGGGGCCCGCTGCCCAGTTGCCAAGCAGCGCAAAGCAAGGCAGAACAGGGCGCCGCCCAGCAGTGCGGAGCAAAGCAGAAGATAGCAAAGCCAAGCGACGCAAGTCAACGCCAGAAATAAAAATGCCTGGCAACGCAACGCCACGCAAAGCAACTCAACGCAATGCCAAGATAACGTCGAGCAACGCCAACAAATGCCAAGCCAAGCGACGCGCAACAACGCACGGCAATGCCCAAACCAAGCAACGCAAAGCAACGCCAAGTGCTGCGCAACAACGCAAACCAACGAACGGCAACGACTAGCCATGCAAAGCAGCGGAAAGCATGTCCTTCCTTGGTAAGCTGCTTCCCTTTGAAACGCAAATTGGGGCCGCGCCAAGTTCACCTTTTCCATCGTGCTCGGAAGCTGTCAACGACGTGGCAAGCGGCGCCGTTAGGGCCGACCTACCACTGCAAGCCCGAAGCAACTTCGGCGTTCCAAGTCCTGGAAATCAGTTCACACGCGCGGGCAAAGCGCGCAGCAATCCACGCGTCTGCACTCCAGCGCGAACGCGCCTCATGCATTTCAGCACCTGTCAGCTTCGAATCAAGCGGGCGCGCCGCGCACTCACTCCGGCGACGGGGGCCGGATCGGACCTCGGAGCAGGGCGCAACGGTCTTCAGGAGCACAACCCCACATTCTGCACGAGGTCAATCTCGCGCAGAGGGCTGATGGGCCTGTCGCCGTTGCTGCGGTCGCATAACCCCGAGCAGCACTTGCTGTCCTTGATGCACAGCTTGCCCTTGCACTTGCAGC